TTCTCTAACAATGCTTGAACGCATTCTGGATTTGCATGAAATGGGTGATAGCTTGTCAGTGCTGTACAACAGCAGGTTGCTTGTATGTCAGCAGGAAAATGGTTTGAAATTATGCATAAGTCCTGTATAATACTTGGTGTGGACATGTGAAGATCTTTGTGTTATAGCCGACTGTCCATAGAGAGAAGGGCCCCCCCATCTGCTCCCCTAAGTAAGGTGGCCCACAGAACAAATGCTAATTCCACTGGGCGATCCCTGTGAGGCACACTCAAGTGCCAAATTGCTCGTTCAACTGACCAATGGGGCATTTGAGCGGGTCTCAGAGGGATCTGTTGGCTTCCAAATCCCTTCTCTGTCCGATTCTTGATTGATCAACGGATGGTTCAATTGATAGATAGATCAAATTGGAAGGGGACTTTGAACTGGCCTCGTAACAGGACGATGGATGCACCAGACGCAACAGACAGACGTATGATGGGGAGGGGGGGGGAGCACGAAAGCACCGCAATACCGTAGCACAAGATCTCAAAAGCTACTGAAGCATGGTTTCTGCCAGTTCACACCGTACTGTGCGTCGCGCCCCCACGCGCCCCCACGCATCCCCTCGCCACCGCCACACCTCACGCGCCCTACAACGCTACGCGACAGCACAACGCCACCTCGCCGCGTTCGCGCACCGAACTGCCCACAAACATGGCGGAGGGCGCTCCCCCCTCACCCAGACCCCAATTCAATTTTTTTCGCCCGTCCGCCCGTCCCTCATCCCGCCTGCCCACCAAGCGACCCCGCCTCGCCAACCGGTGCCTCCCGGGCGCCAATCGCCGCCGGCCCCCACCACCACCAACGCCAATCCCAAAGTTCTAAATCCAGAAAGCCCAAAGTCCGAAAATCCTCGTACACTAGAACGGGGCCATGCATCCCATGCAAATCCCCGAGAGTCCGGACCCCCCGTGAAGGCGCCCAACACCAAAACCTCCCGCGGCGATTTCCCCCCCCCCTCCCCCCCCCCTGGCTGGCAGAAAGCTTCTGAGTGCCAAGACGCGGCCACCTTCCCCCTCCACGCCACGCTTCAAGCCACTCCTCGGCACGTAAGGCACCGAAACGAGCCCAAACCGACATTTCCATGCACTTCTCCCTTTGTTGAATTTTCCCACGACCAACTCCCCAAGCCCGAGTCCAAACCAAGTCCCGAGAAGCGGCTAATTCCGCGCCGTGCCACACACATCCGCGGAGCACATCGGCACGCAAGGCACCAGAACAACTGCAAGCCTGCGTTTCCATGCACACCCCACTTTGCAGCATTTTGTCATGCCCAACTCCCCAATCCCGCGCCTAAAGCACGTCCTGGGGATCGGCTAAAGCCGCACTGTGCCTCGCCCTTTCTATGATTCCATAAGCTCACAATACTCACCAGAGCCTCTCCAACTCGTCCTGCCCTCCGAGGTGCCGGCGGTGCCCCCGCATGCGGGCAAAAACGCGGTCAGCGCGGTCAACGCGGCGAGCGCCGCCGCCAGCCGCCGGCCGGGGGGCATGGGCCCTCGGGCCTTCGCCCGCGCTGCCGGGGGCGCCGGGGAGGGGGGAAAGGGGTTGCGTGGGGGGGAGAGTTCGGCTGGGCGCTACGCGGGCGGGAAAAAAACGCACACGTGGCGGCAAAGCGTGATTTTTCAATCTGATTAATCGGGATTTTAGACCAACGGCTGGTTTTGGGCCTGGGGCGGCGTTGGTGCAGGGGTTGCCGACCAGGCCCTGCTGGCACCTGGTAATAGCGTGGGGCGTTGAGGCAGTGTCGTGGCTGCGTTGGCGCTGATGCAGATCTATGTGTCGCTTCAGCAAGTGCCCGCGGTGCAAACATTGACAAGCGTCGACGCGTGTGCCGGCGTTGCATCGATGCTGATCCACTGGCCTTGTTGCAGCACTGTTTGGGGTTGCATCGGCGATCCTCTGCAGACGCCATTGCATCAACGTCTACGCGTTTTCCAGGCGGTGAAGACTCCGGGTTGCCGAGGTCGTTCCCGATAAGGAGCACGCATGCGGAGACGGTGGCGCCTCCTACCCTAATTAGGGTAGGGGCTATAAACCCTCATCTGGAAACCGGCTGGAGCTGCAGCAACGTTGATGGGTCTTCCTCTCGCGAGTTTGCTGATGCATTCCCTGTCAACGTTGCTGGAAGCACCGCACATCATCGTTCTGTCATCGTCTTTGCCCTTGGCGCTGCTGATGCTTGCGGGGCATGAATTCTAATAACCTATCAGTTGCTAAGTTCGTCAAGTTTGTGCCCCGGTTTGCTTGCAAAACGTTGGTTCATGGGCCATGAATCATGGCCATCGTGGCAACATCGACAGGCAGCGCATCAACAAGATCGTTGCAGCAAGGCCCGCCAACGTTGCCATTACTCATCCTGATTGGCAGATGACAACCGCCAAGAGGGCAATCGTAAGACAGGATCCCTAAACCGCCTCCCTCTGCACAACCATCTGCATATGTGTAGTTTTATTGGGAACAGTGCGTTGGGAAGGGGGAAGGATTTGGCTCGTGGAGTGGCATGTCTTGGATGCCGCCATTCCCAGTTCACTGCAGTGGCTAGAATCATTTTTCCAAAGTTAGTTTAGAGAGAGCCTGACGGGGTTTCAGTGTCTCTTTTTACTATGTGGAAACTCTTGGGGTGCCCCAAGACACTGGTATTTCAAGCATCACAGGCGATATAGTATTCAATCGCTAGTTCATGGACTTCTCCAAGTGGGTGCAGTTATAATTCTGAATTACAGTGTACGTCTTAACCAAATTTAAATAGTAATAACACTATTGCTGTGACAACACATATAAATATTACTCTGTGGTGTTGGAGAATGTGTGGGAAAGTACATGTTGTGGAGAGTTTTCCTTTGAAAAGGAAGACCGCGAAACAGGGAAACAGCGACCTCCGACGCATGCTGAGCTCCTTGCACATACTTGGGATTCTGGAACAATCCCCGGGGACGCACGGATGGCATCGCCGGCTCCCCAAGTCGATCATGGCTGTCTCCTGAACGCCGGTCCAGTGGTTGACAACACTAAATCGATGCATCGTGAAAACCGTGGAATCGCGCGGAATCGGTGTGGATTCCGGTTCACCAACAATGTGCACGCAGGATTCGCAATGTCAAAATTCGCTGACGTTGGCGTCAGCAGCGTTCCCGCCGGGGGGCGGGGGGGGGGGGCGCCGGGGAGATTATATTCGTCCCTCTGTCTTTCCGTTGGGATCCCTTCTTCTTCCCCTGGCAAGGCCAACGTAAGTCAGTGGGTCAGTGTTTTAGGGCCCAGGCCGACGAAACAAGAAGGGATCTTCGAGGAAAAGACAAGGTGGCTAATTTCATGCCTGGCGCTGGAGGACTACCGGAGGCGCGAACGGGCTTTCTATTTGGCAGCTGGGCGGGAACAATACTGAATGCTGCCTTGACTGTGTTGGTCACATTCAACGTCGTCCAAGCATGGAAGGCAGCATGGAGACGGATTCTGAGAGTCTTCGTCTGACGGCAGTAGCTGGGTAAACGCGCAGTCACTAATGGAAAGGGCCATTTGCACCATTGCCCTGAAGGACTCGCCCGTTCTTGCACTCTTTTGTGGATGTCGCCCCGCGCCTTCTGGGCCTTTGCGTGCCCTTAGCACCTGCTCTTGCGCGCTATTCGTGTTTCATCGCGTTGCGTGGACACACTGTGCAGGTAGAAGTTTCCTTGTGGCCAACTGTGCACTCATTGCGGTGCTTCGGCCCAACGAGAAGTTATCCATCATCCAATGGCTTGCGGCGCTTCCCTTCTAAAAGTTCCCAGTTATCCTAGTTACTTGAAAAAGAGCCACTGAATCTTCCTCGGGACGCCCGCAGCAAGTGGAGGTGATCGCGAGCGACAGAGCACAGAAATATTTTGGAATCAGAAGATGGCGCCCCGCAGTATTGGAAATAGAAAATGATGCACCGTTCCACCCATTATTTTATGGAAATTGCTGGAACGCGCTGATGCACCTGCAGTAGTTGCAGCGCACGCACACAGCAGACTAACAAATACAACTTAGTAACGCAGTTGATTAGTCGAAGTTTACAAGGTTCCCGGCGATGTGGCGCCTTTCGGACACGAATACGCCTTGGGCGTAATAGGCAATTTCTGTTCTGGTTTTGACATCAGCGCAGATGCAATGCATTGGAAACATATTAATATTTATGACCCTTTCTGGTAAAAGGGGATACCAGACTCAGTGCTTGTACCTTTTTGTACCGCCTCCCCCAAACGGATATCCGTTGTGCAAGTGCCCCTCGTTTTGTAAACAGCGAATTGCAAATGCTCATACAGATATGCACTTTGGCTCGTGGCTCGAACTGCAGCCCAGAAAAGGCGCCGCTATCCTGGAGACACCCTGACCTCGATACTTTCAGTTCAGCTATACAAGCAAGCACCATAATGTACCTTGTAGCGCCTTGCCGAAGAAGACGCATAACGGGGAGTGCCCATAACGTGATGTGTCCGTCACGGCGACGGACCGTGGACGCACTGTCCCACCACCCCGCTTCTCCAAAACTCCAACCAGTGCTCTCCGCGGCACTCCCCCAATCTCCAAACTTCAATTGCCGCAGCGCCCTTAAATTACAATAATCTGTGAACCGTCTCGGCGACTTGTTGACCGGTCAACTTGCGGTCTCCCCACCCTGTCCTAGACCCAAGCGTTACCGCATCCGCGCTCGTTACGCGGTGGCGCGCCCCGGCGCCACCAAAAAAAGCCTGCCTACGCTCTGTTACAGTTACAGTCGAGGGAAACGAGTTTTTAATTCGGGACACATGCTCGGCACCTTTAGCGCCCCCGCGGTGCACCATGCGTCGAGGCGAGCTCTCAACGGCGGAACCTGATGTTATTCGCGCCAGACTCGGCGTGGTTTATTCGATTCCGGATCAAGGACCTTTGCGAAATCGGCAGCAACAACAAGACTCCGGGTCCAGTACTTTATGCCTCGTCCTTCGGACGGCCGCCTTGATTCATTCCTGCACACGCAGCGAAGGCTCTTTTATGCCTTTTTTTCTGATTTCAACTATTAAATCACATTTCAGAAGCCCTGCTATGCCTTTATGCAATGCGCTGTAGGGATTGCATCCACCGTACTTGGCTGTACCTATTTGGTGGAAGTGCCACTTGTGGAAATGGCAGCAACGGAAACTGCCGCGTTGCTTGATGCAACACCAGATGACCATGGCAAGCCACACTACCCAATAATATTTTAGAAGTGAACTGCACCAGCATTAAATGGACATTGGCGTTCGCGAAAGCAAGAATTCGTGAATTGCCCAAATGCGTTCCACATTCTGCATTTAAAGTGCGCATGCAAACTGTGCCTGAATAAGCAAACAATGTAAGGCAATCAGTTAGGCACAGTGCAGATTGCTTTACCGTTGACGCCACCTCGCAGGTGCAAGTGCATTGACTGCACAATCACACAGCGCGCTGGAAATGGCATAAAATGGATTTTCACTCATTTCACTTCGCCTGATGGCCCCACGATAAACACTGTAGGGCCCACCCACAGCACGCACGCACAGCGTATACACAATGTTTATGCTCTTTTGTGGGCAATTGGAGCAAGGTTCAGTACGTAATGGTACTGGCTCGTACTATTCTTTCAGAAAGTGTGGGTGGCGCACACCTCCTCTCCCTCGGCTTTCTTCAGTAGCTTTGCGATTTTCTTCCTATTTTTAGCGTTGTCACAGGCACCCGACGGGCACCCTAGGAATTCGTCTACCCCCTCATTTTCCAGACATCCGCAAGTGAGCTTTCTGGCCACCTGGCGGCGACAGAAACGAAAGGCACAGTTTCAGTGGCTGAAAACACAAAAAATAGGGAGAATGTTGTCATGCAAAGAGCAATGCCAAAATTGCATCTGAGTGAAGTGTCTGGAGCACGCTGAGCGCGGTTTACATTACCGGCGCTCGCGTGACTTTTGGCAGTCATTTTCTTCCCCAAAAACGGTGCACGGGCGCTTATTTAACAAAAATTCGAATCAACAAATTGCATCGAAAATATGTCAATGTGCTGGTGTTGTATTGTAAACATGCACTCCTCGTCGCCACACACAGGCAAACGGCTTCCCAAGCCACCCGTCCAGATGCCGAAAATGAAGCACAGAAGTTTTTAGTCAGAAGAAAGAATCCTACATTCCATTCCCAATCATTTCGTCACACTGAAGCGTCATCATTAAGAAATGACGATACTCAGTGGTTGAAAGTGCAGGTGAAAACAGCACCAAGAACGGGATTGTGGCTATACGAGTTGGTCGCACTTCACACATTGTGCACTGCAGGTACACCACTCTATTTATGTATTATTTATTTATTTATTTATTTGTTTGTTTATTTATTTATTTGTTTATTTATTTATTTATTCATTTATTTATTCATTCACCTATATACCATTTTCAGGTACTTCAAGTAGATCAATACTTCAAGTGGTTATTATTCTTCAGTACGGAAATAAATTAACACGTTTGCTTGAGAAGCCAAACTTATATCATGCACTTATCTGTTTTCCAAAAAAAATTGTAAGCATTTAGTAAACTCAAATGCAATGATTTGGCAAAAATTTTGTGTAAAATTATCAAATACTACGCAAATGACAGTACTCTGGATCCGCAAGATTGGGGCGGAACGGTTGCATCACGACGGCCTGTCAGGGCTGTTCACGGCACTTTGAAATACGCCGCCGTCCAAAACTTCAGATGTCAACCAAGCAAGATGCTAAAAGGCTATCTGCACAGACACTAGGGACCTCCATATGCACATGGAAACGTTTCAACGCCAAAAGATTGTCGGGAATTCATTGCTTCTGAGAAGCGTGGCTTGACTCCAGGCATGCCATGGTTTGTAAGCCGCGAAGGAATAGATAGTCTTTAGTGCACGCAGCGACAGCAGGGCTGGTCTCAGGATACCTGAGAACTTAGTAGGACGTATGGATGCCACACATGCCAGTGTGCCGTTGCACAAGATGGGTCACAAACCCAGAAATCGGCGATTATGACAAAGAGATACTGAGGCCGTTTCTGCCGGCGCTCCACAGCGATGGGTGTCGATCGATGAGCTGGAGCTGGAGCCGCGCATGGTCAATTATACCTTTGCGGTGCTGCAAACTCCACGAGAAGAGCTGCACTCGAGAGTGGGGCGTTCTTGGACACGAAACGCCACTCCCGGCCAGACCACTGCTATGGGTCAAATTATGGTCTGGGTATTGGGCGCCTTGATTCTCTACAAAAATTTGAGATCATATATAAAACTCGTAGGTGGTAGTGTAGTCTGATCTTTAAGCAAAAGACAAGCTTGACATAAGTGCGGCATAAAAGCGTTCATTTAATTCCGGACAGATAAATAAATAAACAAACAAGTAAAAAAATAAGTAAATGAATAAATAAATACGACCACACATGTGCACACTTGATGAACGCGGCTCTGCGACCGCGCGAATGCGCTCACAAGCTCGCCGCCACCCATCGTTGAATCTCCTACAGGGAATAACTGTACAAAGGTCAGTACATTGCCGTACTTGATTGCACCAATACTTCCTGAACGGTTCTCACCTGCCCCTCGCTGTTTTGGACCCCCGGGTCAGCGCCCGCCCCCAGCAGGAACTTCACGTTCTCCCGGTTGCCGAAAAATGCCGCGTAGCCCAGCGCCGTGTCGTTCGCATTGTCCCTGTGGTCCAACGGCGCTCCGGCGTCGAGCAGCGCCCCCAGCATGGCGGAGGTGCCCAGGTGGGCGCTGGCCTTGAAGAGGGCGGTCTGCCCGCCGGCTGTGACCGCGGACGGGTCCGCGCCCTTGTCCAGCAGCTCCACGACCACCTTGAACAGGCCCTGGGAACCAAGGCGGCGGTTGAGCTTCATCAACGACATGCATTCAATTGATGGGATTCATTAGTTATTGTTATTCAACGGTCAATTGACTTCATTGAATGAATGAATTCATTAATATTGGCTGCTAGTCACTATCCAGGATTGACTGTTTCTGCACTGTTCTTTTTTTGGGTGCTGCCATGTCGTTAACACGACCCTGAAACCTAAAGCGGCGGTTCGTCGATTACGTGCTTTCAGGCAACCGCAGGCTGACCAAGTTGACGCAAAGAAAATCAACAATATCGACTTCGGACCTGAGTAATGGACCAGCGCGTATAAAAAATACAAACAACGAATTACGGGCGCCTACCATCTACACGTTTCAAACCGCACACACAGAGCCCAGGCTTGGCGTTAACGCCGCAAAAACTAATCGTATTTGCGTTTTACGCGTGAAATAGATTTTTTGTTTCTACGTGCATAGATGCGCAGAATACGTAAGTGCAACGTAAATACACCCCCGTGTACATAGCAACAGTAAATACAGACTTAAGGGGTCGAGGAGTGGCAACCAGCCGCCCTGGAATGGGCATAATGTGAACTTTTGTTCCACGCCATCGTTTCCTGCTGAGGGTGAGGCGGACGCTGTCATGTGGGTGCTCGAGGGGCGGCAGGACTGATCATTGCGGCGATTTTCACCGCATAACCCGTGTGCCACAACAAGCCGTGAAAACGCAAATACAGCCATACAAGAAACCTCTTTTTTGCAAATCTACGTTTTCGCGTGCAAAACGTGAACTTAAGAACTAAGCCTGTTCGTGCCTGACAACCGTCGGTAGCTCACACTAAGCCAATGGAGCCCAGCGAAATGAGACACGCAATGACGCCATCTTACACGCATAGCGTAACATATAGACGTATCAATAGCGACAACATATCATGTGACGTATATGTAAGGTCATGTGGTGCGCCATTTCGTCCCCCACACTCACCATCTCTGCCGCCACTATGAGCGCCGTGCCCTCGTCCCTCGTGCAGCAGCCGTCCGGCTCGGCCCCCGCCTCCAGCAGCTCCCGCACCACCAGCAGGTGGCCGCCCTCCGCGGCCTTCATCAGCGGCGTTGAGTTGGACAGCGAGCGGCTGTTGACTTCGGCGCCGCCGGCGATCAGCGTGCGGACGACCTCCAGGTGGCCCTCCTGGCTCGCAGCCTGGCGCGGCAGTTTTTGGCTCAGCGCAAGCGACAGACAGGAATACGGAATCCATTAACAAATGAAATCGCTCACTTGCCGATTCATTTATTTACTCATATACATATCCTTATCATGTTTTGTTTATTTGTTTGGAGGTTCTGAGTTTATTTGATTCGCGCTGTGCTTTAGGCAGTGCCAACAGCAACTGAGGGTTGCGTTGTCCGCTACCCGGAAGACAGCTGACGTCCAACACCTGGAGTCCAAGAACACTTGGGCCCACGCAAACAGTACTTCAGGACTGCAGCGCCCGCTCGGCATCAGTAAACACACTACAAACAGTGTCGTCAGCATTTGACGCAGTGCAAACAGTACTTCGGGTCTGCGCCGCCCACTGAGCATTACTGTGCGCAGAACAGCGTCACCAGCACTACACCTAGTACAAACAGTACTTCAAGCCTGTACTGTCCACCCACCTGCAGGGCTGTGAAGCCCATGTTCTCTCGAGCTTCTATGTCAGCCCCGGCCGTTAGCAGGTCCTGCACGACGGGATCGTGCCCCAGGTAGGCCGCCATGATGAGCGGCGTGAAGCCGTCCTGGTTGCGGGTCTCTGTATTTGCGCCAGACACAAGTGCAACGCCCGCAGCCTCAGTGTCGCCGCTCGCCGCCGCCGCCTTCAGAGCCTGCGCATGCACGCACGCCAGTACAGGAGTCTGCGCAAGTGTGTGTGCCTGTATAGGCGCATAATATTATCACAATGCCAGGAAAGTATGCTGCAACACAGCACAAAAAGTTACCAAGCCTTGCACCATTTTCCCAGAAGAATTACTAAACTATTACAAAACTCGTATAATATGACAGTGAATTATCTGTATAATCAAAGTGGGGAATTTCTTTGGCGACTAGTCATCGAATGGTGACAACTCTTCAAAGCATTTCTACTAAAAGCTGCTGGGTAAATTTCATCGCTTTCCACCAGGCTTGTTATTTACGTTTACAGCACCACTTTTGCGTTTTATACATAAACAAGCTTAAATAGAAAACTGGCTATTTGCAGGGCTGGTCGACGTGCCCAGTTTACGCGATGATGTCCCAATTAATGATCAGTCCTCTGCGCCCCTGAGTGCCTGCAACACTGTGTACACCTCGCCCGTGGCAAGTACAACGACTTCGTCGAACAACAGGTCTCTTTTTGCTCGCTCCAGCGCGTCCGGATGCCGCTCCCCAGGTTCGGTGAGGCTGTATGCACTGTCTTTATGTACACAAGACCCATTTAACAACTATTCATGTGTAAGAACATAAAACCAAATGTGACCCGCAAATACGCGAGTATTCGCGGCGCAAATGGCAGAGATGCTCCCCAGCCATCGCGCTCACCTCATTGAGGCTCTCCTGGCTGGCTTCGGCACTCAACGGCGGCTCAGCCGCTGGGCCCCGCGGCCCGCCGACCGCAGGGCTTCTGGCAGCTCTCGGTGCAGGACCCCCCGGAGCTGATCTTGCCACAGGAGGACCCCCTGCCGCCCGCTGCTGCACACCTGCTGAGTCATCCGGGTCAACCGTGCTTGGCGGCTCTCTTGTCTGTGGCTTTGGGGAAGTGTCTGGTGTTGGGCTGGCAATCTGTGGGCTTGGGGAAGGCCTAGGCAGCTCTCTTGTCTCTGAGCTTGGGGAGGGATCCGGAAGAGGGTTGGACACCACCGGAATTGGCGAAGGCCTGGCCGCTGGGGGCCTTGGCTGTGGCCTTGCCAGCGCGGTGCTTGGCGGCACTTGTGGGCTTGGAGACGGCAAATGGGTCGAGGGCCCTTGAAATTGGGTGGGAACGGCAGGGGGCCCTGTGGGCGGGGCTGTGGGGAGCGGGGTGGGCGGGGCGGCGAGCTGGGCCGCTCTCAAGCCGGGGTCAAAGATGGGATCGGTGGAGCTGGGCGCAAGGCCGGTGGAAAATGCAGTGCCCGGGACGGTGGTGGGCGTGGCGGCAATCCTGGGATCCTGGGTGGTGACCAGTCCAGGTGGCAGCACCAGCAGTGCTTCGAGCCCAGTCTCCTCCTCACCGCCCTGGCAGTGCCCAAAAGGGCATGGCAGGGCGCCAGGCGTCCGCCCGGATGTCCGGCACCCGCAGATCACATCCCCGGGGACCCGCCCCTGTGAGTCGGCCAGCGTCTTGTCCCCCCCCTTGCTCACCAGCACCTCTGCGTTTGGCAGGCTGCCGTAGAACGCCGCACTGTGCATGGGGGTGCTCAGGTTCACGCTGAGGTGGTTGGGGTCACCCCCTCGGTCGATTATGTTCTCCACAAGGAAGGTCGTGTTTGGGTAGGCGGACACGCTGAAGATCGCGGTCTCGCCCAGGAGGTCCTGGGAGTTGGGGTTGGCGCCCTCGGCCAGGCACATGAGCAGGATGATGCCCCTGCCGTTGCGCGCAGCTGCTATGATGGGTGTGGTGCCTTCATTGTCCTGGGCTTCCAAATCGGCACTGCTGTCCATCAGCAGCTGAACCAATTCTCGATGGCCCTCCTGCATGAATCCACAACTGCAAAATCAGCCACACAAGCAATCGAATGCAAGATGGCCAAATGGAAGGCCAAAAGGACAATGCAATGAACAGATGGCAAGCTATGACAAACTGCAGCAGGACATGCAATACATCTATTCTAGCATGCAACTATCATTTGTATTGTATGTATTTTTGTTGTGTAAATGTGTAATGTGCTCGACATGTACCATACAGCATTGCCCACAGACCCCTGCACCGTAGGCAAGGACTTGAATAGGGTTTAGATTGTTCAATCGCCGCAAGTGTCATTGGTGTTTGTGGCTCTGTATCACACTACAGTGGGTGACAATCTGCACATCATTTCCACCTCGTGGGAAAACTGATACTTGATTTGAGGCCTCAATAGGATTTGACACGGTGACCTTTTGCCTAAGGTGTACTCATCTGCAACATGACACAGTGAAGACATTACTGAAGACACACATTCAACCTCAAAGCGAAGACACACCTCCTATCAAATAAACCACTGGACATTGCATCAATGGAGGTACCTTCGTAGCAGCCAGCAGTGCTGTGGTCCCATCATCCGCCTTTGCATCCACGAGCGCCCCCGCCGCCAACAGGTCGGTTACTAACGGCACGAATCCGCGGGAGGATGCCGTGATGAGGGGCGTGCGGCCGCCGGTTCCCCGGGCCTCAAGGTCCGCCCCTTGGGTCAGGGCCGCCGAAGCGTCGACCTGGTCGCCCCTCTCGGCGGCTTGGAGCAGCGCCTGGAGAGGCAGGCGCCCAAGTGAGTTGACGCGCAAACAATTAGTCCTTCAAACTAGAGTTTCAAATTAGTAATTCAAATGACTAAGCTAAATGGATGATGCACAGATAACAATTAGTAATTTTAAACCTCTTGGACAAAGCGTGCACAGATCGGCGCCCCTGTGCGCTGGGTCGTCTGCAGGTTGTGCCCGCCTAAGCAGGCCTGAGGAATACACAAGATACCTGCATACCAAGTTATGCACTTTTGCGCATGAGTATGGAGAAGCCGAGTACACATGCAAATAGGGGTTAATGTAGTGCATTTGCACCATTATCAAGCGCATACAACTGGTTCGTTGTGAGGTGCCGGCGAGGACGTTTTGAAATGTAGGCTGGAGGCCGTTTTGTATTGTTAAAACTGGGTGTTTGGGAGCGCGTAGCAACAGCAAAAAAACGCGATGCAACAATTGAAACGCAAGAGGATACGCAAATTCAGGCATGTGCTCACCTCATCAGCACTTATTGGTTGCACAACCTCCTGCAGGAGACCCCTTGAGACCATCTGAGATGGCCATTCCATCGATTTCTCATATTTTCCTGTAAATGTTCAAACGCACAGTGAGAAATTTGAATGTCCCTTCAAACGCCCGTTTGCCACGTGTATGATACTTTGCAATTTCCAGTACATTGTCGACAGTTGCCTTTGTACTGCTGCACACGCATTTTCTTGTCTTGTTTTCGTCCCGAAATCAAAGACTTAAATCTTTCGCTTCTTGGCAAAAGTGCAATTTGCAAAAGCATCTGCAAGCACTGCTGGAGCTGCCCACCGCATGTTTGTTCTCTGTTGCAATCACTGCTTCCGGTACCCAGCTCTCAGAAATTCAGCACAATCCGGTCAAACGAGAGAACCGCCGCTGGACAAAATGGCAGGTGTCTACCAGTGCAAGGAGGGGGAAAGGGGGTGGGTGGGTGGGTACAGATGTTGGGGTGTCCGTATGCGTGGTCCGTATTGGGAAAGGCCTCCAGAAACCGCCACCCGATTGATGCATCGATAATTGATGGATCGATAATGCCCTCTGTGTCCACGTCAACTGAGCTTCAGTCCTCCTGGAGGCCATTTCCCCATCCCCTAAAGCCATCCGCCGCAGCGGGGTCTTCCAGGAAATAATGTTACTGCCTGCACCAAATCGGTGACAGTTTGCACCAAGTCATGTGCACACTGTGTCCTAACCTCAGTTTTAGGGTTAGGTTTAGTTTGGGGGTGAGTTTTAGGGTTAGGGCTAGGGTTAGGGCAGGTTTAGGTTTAGGTTTTAGGGTTCAAGTTTTAGGTTAGGTAAGTTTTGGAGCCAGTTGGTGCAAGCAGTCACCGATTTAGTGCAGAAAGTCACCGATTTGGTGCAGCCAGTAATTGTATGCCGTCCTCCAGTGGCCAACCCACAACCCCACCCCACGCTCAACCCCGCGGCAGCCACGCGGACTCCGACCATTCCCAACGCGGTTCCGGCCGCGTCCCAACGCCGAACAGCCCCGCGCTCGAGCCACACGTCTCCGACACCACGCTACCCCCTCCTCCCCTCCCAATATCCCTGCATCCCCGCGCATGCACACATGCGGCGCGAAGGCAGGCTTGCACACAAGCGCCTCGCGCGCGCGCATCCTTTCCTGCCCCCGACAACCCCTGGCCGAGAATGTGATCAAGTCCGCCGGGGCTGCGCGGAGGCGCACACGGGCACCGGACATCGGCTAGCCGGGCGCACGTGCCCGCGTCCCGGGCAGTGCGGAACCAGGAGTGCCCGGGACGCCGGGACTGTCGTCCCTGTCTCGACTCCGCCGACAGCAGATCCGGCTGTGGCGGCCGGGGACGAGGGCCCAGCGCACCCTTCCCGGCTCCCCTGTTTGGATCTCGCTCGATCGGGCCCCGGACCGGACCGGCGGGCCGCGGGAATCCAATCCTGAGCTCGTAGCCACGATGTGCGACGCACACGGCATCCGCCGACGTATCTTGCGCAGCGGCCGGATGGCTGCCGCACAACGGCACCGCCGTCTGCACCTCGAATCTTTGCGACGGACACTTCAAGGTGCGAAACCGGCAAGTCTTGTTTCTAGGCGCCCTCCCAATCCCTTCTCAGCCCCCCGCCAACACCAGGCCATGCATGCGCACGTACATGCGTCCACGCCATTTGCCCGTATTCTGGTCCTGCCTCACGGCAGGGCGCGAAAAGAAACACAGGTTCCACGACGCCCTTCCCGCCCTCCATCCACCCTCATCAAGCCTTCCCACCCCGACCATCTCCTTTCTTCCGCGTGCCCTCCTCTCCACATGCCTCCCACCTCCTCCCGTCAACAACCATCACTTGATGCATGTCTCGTGCATGCCCCATCAGAAAAAGAGCACGCCGCGTCCCCTGGTCCCATGGCCCCGGCCCCTCACCTGACCCTCCCACCACAAGCCCCAGTGCATCGATCCCTTCTCCCGCTGCCCTCCTGCCCGCCCTCGATGCCGCGCAGCCGGCCACCAACGCGGTCAGCAGCCACAGCCGCAGCCATGCATGGGATGCATGCATCGATGCAAGACCCGATCCCAGCGTCCTCGTGCGGCTGGGCCCCCGGCCCCCGCCTCGTTTTCGGGCCGCCTTGGGGCGCCGCACGGCGTGGGGGACGGGCCGAGGCGGGGGGGGAGGGGGGCGGCAGTACTTTATCGCGTGGGCAGTAGTTTATCGTACTCGGGGCGCGTCCGAGGGTGAAAATCGGCTCCAAGGTCGTCGCAGGGGAGACACACCAGTTTTGGGGGCACTACACCAGGGTAGGTGTACCTAAGCACGTGTATATGCATGTGCATGTACACACGCGCCTGGGCACGTTATGTCTATCTGGGTGCACGCCTGAGTGCATGCTGGGTCAGCACGGGCTCCGGTCGTCCGTTGGGTACTCCGAGCCCGGTGTGCGAGGGGCGCCGAATGCCGAACCAGGCACACCCCAGTGGTGTTGATGCTCCTGAGAGGGGCGCAGCGCTTTCGTTTGAGCGCCGTGATCGGCGGCCTGGTGCCTGCTGTTGCGGTGCATATGACGGCTAGTCCGCGCAGGCAGAGTGGGACGGTGCAAAGCAGCCGGCCAACATAAGTCCCTGGGCGGCATCCCAGCGACGATAACGCGGGGCGACAGAGTTTTCGGCCCTTCGCGAGGCCGTATTGAAGGTGTCGTTGTCGCCGAGGTTGCCCAAAGCACTAGGAAAGAAAGGGCCAAATGACACGTGTTCAAACATGTGCAAAGTTTACGGGTTTGCGCTAATTTTGTGTTCTTAGCCTGCAGAACTTTGATGAAACGCGTTTTATGTGTGCTCGCAAAAGTCTTATTTGTCCTTTTTTGCTAGTTTTTTGCTAGTGAGGGGCGACGGTAGACACCAGTAGAAGCTGTCGACTACCTCACTGCCTTGTTGTGTGAAAATGAAAGGTCATGATGACACCAGCAGGGGACGGCATTTTGGCGATGCCGGCTGCGATGCCATTTGGCATTACCTGATGCCAACGCAGTCGGCGTCTTCTTCTGCGCCATTGCAGTCACTCTCATGATGCCCTTTGGCGTCAAGATGGCGTCTCAGCTGGCATTGCAAAACAAATGGGTTTTTGTGCTGATGAGAGTGCTGCATCCTGAGCTGACGTTGGCAAAAAAAGGGTACCGGAAAAAGGGTAGCAGAATTACGACAAATACAGAGAATGCAGGACAGCACACGAATTTGCATTGCGCAGTACATTGTTGACGACCACCTGGTGGTGGCTTGTTGCCGCTGAGGGGGTGCGCTCGTGCGCCGCGCAGCCAGAGAAAGGTGCTTTTGAAAAATGGCAGTAAATGCACGATTAGGATTACAGGAACTGGTTGCAAGTATGCACGGATGCGCGATTCTTTGCGGCACAGCGTCTGTGTAGTCTATGGCAGGCTTGGTATTCACCCCGTAAGCGCAAATCCCACTTACGGTTTTCTGCGTAAAACTAGTCTAAAGCCGCGTAAATACGCAAAGACAACGTAAATGCCGCCGCGTGTACACTGGTAGAAAACAACATGTTTACGATGCCAGTCGCGATGCCATTTTGACACAAAACGATGCTGTCAAAATGACTGGGATGGCATAAAAATGGCTGCGATGGCGTCAGATTGTGTCAAATGGAATCGCAGCTGGCATCACAAACAGACTGCTTTCTACTGGCGGTACATGAGAACAGTACATACAGATTTGGGGATCCGGGGAGTGGCAGTCAGACACGCTGGAATGGGTAGAAAATGAGCTTTTGTTTCATGCCGTCGTCGCCCTTGCCGAGGGCGAGGTGGGCACTGTGTTGCCGGTGCTATAGGTGGCGGAGGACTGATCATTTTACCCAACTTTCATCGTGTAAACAAATTCATGTTTCACCCGTAACAGTATAAATGCATCAACGTAAACGTAAAAGCAAAAGCCGAGCCTGGTCTGTGGCGAAATGTCTGCAGTCTGAGTCTCAGCCCACTGCTAAATTTATAAAATTTAATAAATTAAATATTCTTAATAAATTCAATAATATTTAAATTTAGTCAATACTGCATGTTATCAAACATAGCGCCCAGATGTCTTCCTGGAGGTACTCGGCTCTCGATTCTGAGTGGTGCATTTGCCTAAAGAAATGACAAACGGAGTCTTTGGACGTAAAAGGCTTTGTCCAGTGCATAAAGCGATTACCCGATACAACTGTTCATGGACGGGGTCCCCAAACTGAGGCAAAAAGGGGCGGCGGATGCTCACATTGGATCATGGACACTGGAGCGGCAACCGATCCAAAGAGCTGCTGGAGGAAACTTGGGAAATTCGGCTGAGGCAATGAAAAGTAGCCTTGGAAGCGACAAAAAATGCTGTTTTTAACCAAAACACCAGGGAGAAAAACTAAAAAGCGCGAGCATCACAACATCGAATAGTCTGCTCTGACATTGATAGCATTGACATCATCACATGTGCTGATGGGACTCGCATATGGCAGGCCCTGCAAGCATGTCCGACCGAACTGCAACTGGTCGATAATCAAACAGGCTTCTTACCCACGGGTCAGTGAGGGCGAGAAATTGTGATGCGCGCTAACATGCGCCGGTCAGCCAGCCACCAGGCGCCTGCCTAGCGGCGCCACTGGGTCAGTACTTTAGGGTGGATACCGACACCAGATCTGGCGTGCTATCTAGCATGTTTTGGAACCGGGGGCTCCAGATAGGGGTGCCGCTGGGCCGTAAAAGGGGCCCTCCCATAAGCGCAGCCCATTGGCAAGGAGGAGGTGTGAAGTCCACGTGCACGTGCACGGCGTGGGCTTCAATGAGCATCCCACCTTTTCCGGTGAAGTCCACAAGTGTTTTGGAAAGTGACGCACCCAAGTTCCACAATGCACCAAGCTCTGTTCCACACTGTTCCCAAAAAAGAGTCTTAGTGAAGGCGCTATGTCGATTTTGCTACGCTTAGCATCAATTTGATG